TGAGCTCATTGCTATGTTTGTCACATATGGCTTTAATTTTCCTCTCTGTCCTTCTTACCCTGTACACTTGACCAATCTTGTGCTCTGTTTTATCTGATATAATGTTCCAAAGCCTAAAAGCTGAACTCTTACTTCCAGAAGAGGCCTATTTGTTTCCCAAGATTCTGGTGAAATATATTGGTACATCTGTACCTGTGTCTATAAGGCCTTAAATGGCAAGGTCTTTTATTCATATTTTAAATTTTGCTCTTTGTTAATTTATAGAAGTTTGTGAGCATACTCACTTTATGATTTCTTTTTAAATTTTTGTTCTCTGTTCTACAGCTGTTCTATCATCCAGTGCAGTATGCTTTCTTAGAGTAGGTATTAGGTTCTTTAATTGATCTGTAAAGGAGTTTCCTCCATGATGACAGGAAATGAATGAACCAAATTTGGTATGGGGGCCTAGTCTCTCCAGCCTTTAGGGATAATCTATTTTAAGTTGATGACGAGTTTAACATCTGCTTCACAAAAGGTGAACGCATGCCATATGAGACTATTGCTTCCTTGAATCTCCTTTAATCTAACATTTCCACAGGAGTCCATTTACCTCTTGCACAGCCTTGGGAATATCTGTCATTTGGCAGTTATTCCTGTAAGATGACTGGATAAATTAAAGTTGGTTGTTTGAAAACCTTAGACTATTCTTTTCTAACCTTATAATGCAATGCTAAAATTAGTTCTCTAATAAATTCCTCTGCCTGGATTTAAATATCTCTCTGTTTTAATAAGTTTTTCTAAGGCATGTATCTTGGCACAAATATCAACCAATGTTCTTAAAAATTGACCAAGAATTATCAAAATAATAAATACTATGTCAGTCTCAGCAAGTTGATTATCCCTTTATTTAATTGGTTTAATTATTCCAGTTTTAAATCATGTATAATCATGCAGACTTAACTCTCCAGTGTAATTGTGTTTCCATTTTTAATGCTGGAAAAATAACTCTTAAACTAATTCTGCCTTTTAAGAATTCCCAATTTTTTTCAAATCTGCTGATGGAGCGTGAGGCTGCCACTGTATAGCCCATCCAATTGGAAAACACAGTGCACAGCCTGGCTGAGGACAGCTGCAGCTGCTAGCATGTAGCCTGAGAAAGTGTCAAGGGCACTTTCTATTGGGGCAGCAGCTCAAGGAGGTGGTTCATAGAAATCCCACAACCCATGCGGTAGACAGAGCTGGCTGTTGGAAAAATATACACAGGATTGTGCAGAAGAAGTGTGCATGGTGGGAGCTACTCTAAGGCAGTGGAACTGGTCTAGGGTGGGTAAGTTCTGTGTATTAGGAGCCTGGGTGCTTCTGGAGATTGATTGGCAGTTGGAGACTGTTGTAGGAAAATCCCAAACTCGTTCAGAAGCTTGGGGAAAAAAAACAAAAAAAAAAAAACACAGCCAGTGGGGTAGTGACTCTGGTGGGAGTCCCCACATGTGCCAGTGGGTGCAAAGCCACAGGCAGCAGCATCTTTTGTGTATTCATGTTGTAACGTTGGGCACCAATTGCTGCTCAAGTTCTAACTGGTCTTTGTAATTTAGATTCAGAGCCAGATATTGGGGCAAAGATTGAAAGATTAGAGTGAGAAAGGAGCAAGCCATAGCTGTCTCTTACCTTGCTAAGTCCTCAGCCAAAACAGCAGCTGACTTCCTGTCTCTTTTTGTCTTATATTCTCTCCGCCCAACTGTATCACTTCCGTCTGTCTGTACACCTCCAGGCCTCTATGGTTAACAAGAGGCTCTGATCTTCAGTCAAGGTTTATTTGTAGAATACAAGTAAGACATCACCACACTGACTTACAGTTCAGAGGTTCAGTCCTTTATCATTATGGTAGGACAAGGAGGTATGCAGGCAGGCATTGTGTTGGAGAAGTACCTGAAAGTTGTATATCTTGAAGGGATCAGGAAGTGATCTGATACACTGGATGACACACTTCCTCCAACAAAGTCACCTCTCCAAATAGTGCCACTACATTTGAGGAGCATTTTCTTTTAAGCTACCACAATATCCTCGTCCCCTTTATGTAATAGGAATTGGACCAAAGGATTCATGTGTGCTAGGCAAGTATGCTACCAACTGAGTTACATCTTCAGATTCTATAATCATTTTCATTTTAGTAGCAATTTAATTCTCATTTTGCCTCTTTTGCATGGTTTTCCTGCTTCTATGCCTGTGTATAATGTATATGCCTGGTTCCATGGAGATCAAAAAAAGAGTAGAACCGTAATTATAGGTGGTCAGGAGCAACCACATGCATACTGGAAATTAAGCCCAGGTCCATTGGAGGAACATCAAGTGCTGCTAACCACTGAGCCCCTCATTTGGTCTCAGGTGTTCTGATTCTAATCACCTACAACATCTCTAGTTCTCCAAATATCCATGTTATAACTAAGCAGCCAGATTATTTGCGAATTAATATTTCATGGTTTGTATATGGATGTTTTGCCTGCATGTATGTCCATGTACCATGTGCATGTCTGCAATTGAAAAATCCTAAAAGAAGGCATTGAATCCTCTGGCCCTGGAGTTTCTGATCCTTGAGTGTCCATCAGGTGTCAAGCAATCAGCCTGGATCCTCAGAAACAGCTCTTTAACCACTGAATCACTTAGTGCCAGAGATCTAAATAACAAATTAGGTCAAGTTTCTATATGCAGTATTTATTCTGAAAACTGAAGACCTAAGAGTAAAGTTCTTTGGAAAACCAACTTTTCCCAGATGTACAGTTTTTCCTAGTTTTGTGTTGGCACTGCTTTAAGCATGCTTCAATGCTGTGGTTTGTCAGATACGTTCCCCTCGAAGCCTTTGTACCTGTTCAACTCTCATTTATCTTTTGTTTCCTTTTTGTCTGTCACTTAACGAGGAAGCCCTGCTCTAAACTCTTTAAACGTTTCAGCCCTAAAGCCCACAGTGGTGGATAAAACCTATAATCCTATGACTTGTAAATTAAGCCAAGAAGATCAAGTTCAGTGCTATCTTGATTACACATGTTATTTGAGGTCACATAGGGTTAAAGGACACCCTGTATTAATGATAATAATAACCTGCACCCTTAGTATTGGGTCTAGAGCTTGTGGGTTCCAGTGTTGGTACTGTGAGACTTCCTTCCATGAAGTCATGAGATGAAGTCTGTGTTGCATTTTGAGGTAATAAAATGTTAAGATATGCAAACTTTGAGACCCGTGTCATAGAATCTGCATGTAGGAAGTGGAAGTAGCAAAAGACAGAGATGTATGAGAAGTTGCAAGGAGAAATCGTCATCTATGCCCTTTGAAACAACGGAAGTCCCAAGTGTGTGACCCAGAGCTGCAGGATTTGGCATTTGCCCTGTCGGATTTCAGCCTTGCCATGGTCCAATCTTTCCTTAGTTCTTAAAAAGGGAAATGTATAGTCTGTGCCATTGTTTGGTGAATAGATTTAACTCATGTTTTCATATTGCAAGATGTCACAGTCAAGATATTGCCTTGAGTGTCAAGAGAAATGTTGGGCATTTCAACAGTGTAGGGAATGTTACATACCATGGGGATCTTTGAAATTAGGCTAAATAAATTTTGCATCAAGGTTTGACTGTCAGTATATCATGACCTGTGACACAATATTGAGGGTTGAATGAAAAATCTGGGCATTTGTCTTTGGTGTAGGCCTTCATTGGTGACTGAGGAATAGAAGCATTTTTGGAGAACATAGTTTCTGGGGAAGATTTCTGTGTTTTTCACCACACTTCTTTGTGTGGTAGAAACTGAGCAACCCCCTTCTCTTGTAGACACACCATTACCTCCACTAGAGACTCCATTCCTAAATAATTTAAGGTAAAATTGAAACAATTGTTTTTCCTTGCTAATCCATTTTTCTTTCCTATTATTTTTATATTAATATTTAGGTGCATTTAATTTGAGGTGTTTTTGTATTTACACTCTTGCTGTTGTGCTAAACTATACTCAAATCATGACTTTTGAACTTTGGCAGGAGGTGTCATTTTTCAGATATAGTATGAATGCAATCTTGCAACTAATAGTGATCTTTTTCACTGAATTCCAGGTGTCTAACATTATCCCTAACTTTGTATATGTTTTTACATGTTTAAGTTGTTTTCAAATGTCTGAGTCTTTTGACTATATAATACATGGATGTGTTTTGCTGATCTTCCTGGTATTCACTGAATATATAAGCATTGGTTTCTCTTGACCTGGAGTTAGGAATAGAGCTTCCAGTGGATGCTGGGAGCTGAGCTAAGACCTCTTCAAAACCAACAGGTGATTTTACCTGCAGATACATCTTTATATACTTCATTACTTTTTGTTGTTTTACTGCTGTAGACTCACATTTACTTTGTCAGTGCTTTTGAGATCTCTTTGATCTATCTGTAACTAACTTTGTAGAAATGTTTTCCTTCCTAGGAATTATTAGTATTACAGTTTAAAAGAGGTCATTCTAGGTTATGATAGAGAAGTACAGAATTATAGTAAATGTTTAAGTGTATAGAGAAATTTTGAGTGAGCCACTGAGTGTTTTCTGATTTTATATTAGAGATGGGGTCTCTGTACCCTTGAATGTCCTGGAAATCTCTATATAGACCAGACTGTTTTTAGAATAAGAGTTTCAGCTGTTTCTGCTTCCTGAGATTTGGTATTAGAGAGTGCACCACCAGGGCCAGATTGTCTATTCTTTTTTGAAGTTAATTATTCTGAAAGATTTTGCAGATGGACACTAAATATTGTCATCACTGTTTTCATGTCTCTCTGTGTATATTATAAGGCATTTCTTCTGTAATGCTATATTCTCTTCAGTGGGCACATATGGAAGGCATCTTCCTGCTTATCCCTTTTCTTTAAATTGAGTTGGTATTTAAGGGCCCATGTCACAAAATATAATGAACATATTGAATTATGTAAATATGTCTTCATTGAAGTATACATTTAGAATGTCTTCAGTGTCAACATTCATTTATTATATCACATATGGGATACTTTAGGATGCAGTGACCTATGAGGATGTGTATGTGAATTTTACTCATGTAGAGTGGGCTTTGCTGGATCCTTCCCAGAGGAATCTCTACAAAGATGTGATGCTAGAAACCTACTGGAACCTCACTGCTATAGGTAAGAATGTGAACTTTTTGTCAATTTTTAACTTAAGAGTACAAGTCTTTCTTGGAGATTAGATCCTGTTCTGTGATTTCAAATATGAAAGAGGAAGAATCTCATGGATAAATCAGGCATGTTTCTTAGATTCATGAAATATAGTAATTTCAACTGTGCCTAATTTCTAGTAATATGTCACATACATTTTCTGGTACTATATTTTAGGCTATAAATGGGAAGACCATAATATTGAAGAACATGGTCAAATTTCTAGAAGTCATGGAAGGTATCTTCAAGCACACGAAACAACCAATAATAAAGAGGATCTCTTTGAATGTAATCCGTATGATGAAGCCTTTACATCTGATTCCTCTTTTGAAGTCCACCAGAGAAGTCATTTGGAAGGAAAATACTATGAATATAATCAAATTTATAAAACCTTTCCATGTCACAGTCTTCAACAAGTGTATAGTACTCAAACTGGAGAGAAAAGGTATGAATACCATCAGTGTGACAAAGCCTTTGAATGTCCCACTTACCTTCAAATAGATAAAAGACGTCATACTGGAGAGAAACTCTATGTTTGTAATCAGTGTGGCAAAGCCTATACACTGAAGAAGACTCTTCTCGCTCACATAAGAAATCATACAGACGAGAAAGCCTATGAATGTAATCAATGTGGTAAAGCCTTTGTGTGCAAAAGTTATCTTCGTGCTCATGAAAGAACTCACACTGGAGAGAAACCCTATGAATGTAACCAATGTGGCAAAACCTATACACTAAATAAGAATCTTCTCTGTCATAAGAGGAGTCATACAGGAGAGAAACCCTATGAATGTAATCAGTGTGGTAAAGCCTATGCACTGAAAAAGAATCTTGTCTCTCACCATAGAAGTCATACTGGAGAGAAATCCTATGAATGTAGTCAATGTGGTAACACCTTTGCAGAGAAGTATACCCTTCTCAGACATGAAAGAATTCATACTGGTGAGAAACCTTATGAATGTGATCAATGTGGTAAAGCCTTTGCAAGGAAGCTTTTTCTTCTCTGGCATGAAAGAATTCATACTGGAGAGAAACCATATGAATGTAAACAATGTGGCAATGCATTTGCAAGGAGGAGTTATCTTCTCTGTCATGAAAGAAATCATCACACTGGAGAGAAAGCCTATGAATGCAGTCAATGTGGTAAAGCCTTTGTAGAGAAGAGACGTCTTCACAGACATGAAAGAATTCATACTGGAGAAAAACCCTATGAATGTAATCAGTGTGGTAAAGCCTTTTTAGAGAAGAGAGGTCTTCAGCGTCATGAAATAATTCATACTGGAGAGAAACCCTATGAATGCAGTCAGTGTGGTAAAACCTTTGTCCAGTTGAGTTATCTTCACAGCCATATAAAAATTCATAGTGGAGAGAAACCCTATGGATGTAATCAGTGTGATAAAGCCTTTACAGTGAAGTCTAATCTCCGCAGGCATGAAAGAATTCATAGTGGAGAAAAGCCATATGGATGTAATCATTGTGGTAAAGCCTTTACACAGAAGTGCATGCTTCAGAATCATGAAAGAATTCATACTGGAGAGAAACCATATCGATGTAATCAGTGTGGTACAGCCTTTACAAGGAAGCAGTATCTTCTTCGTCATGGAAGAATTCATGCTGGAGAGAAACCCTGTTAAAGTAATCAATGTGACAAAGCCTCTGTGGAGAAGAGTAGTCTTCACATGCTTGAAAGAAGTCGCAGAGGAGAGAAACTCTGTGGATGTAATCAGTGTGTTAAACACTTTGTGCAGAACTATCATCATCTCATTCTAAACATTGTTCTTTCTTGATGGTATGAGGAACAAAAACAATCCATAAGGGACAAAAACCATATTTTTCCATTAAGGCATAAAAAGCATGGTTTAATTGACTAACAGAAGTGGCCAATAATGAGTAATGTGAAATAAGCCCACTCCTAACTGTTCTATTGTAAGTAACATGAAAACACATTCTGAGAACAAGTCTGTGTATTGATTAATATTTCAGCAAAAGCTAAATGTTCCCATTTCTAATTATGCACTTACCAATCCAGTTAAAATTATAGAAGGAGGGATGGCATTGGACTCTCTTCACAGTTTTACATCAGTAATATATTGCCTCACCCTCCCTGTGTCATAAACTAAATTGAAGGCATCTTGATCACCTTTGTCTTCAAAAATATATCACATTGGTGAACTATTTTGATAGCATTATTTTGTTTGGACCACGTGAGCAGGAGGAAGCAGCCATTTTGATCTCATTGATAACACATATGCACATCAGAGGATGGGACAAAATCCAGCCAAACTTCAAGGAACTTCTACCTCATTGAAATTCATTGAAATATTAGGGTTGTGTGTAATTCAGAAGTATTTCTTCTAAGGTGACAGAGAAGTTATTGCACCTGGTCCTTCTACCATCAAGAAAGAAACCAATGTTTACTGGGCCTGTTTAGATTCTTAAGATATCACAGTCCTCTCTTGGGTGTGTTAGTTTTGCCCATATACCAAGTGAGTCGATGCTGTGGGGTAATGCTCTTGTGCACTGTAAAGATTTGTCACTTGTATTATTTTAATATAACACTAATTGACCAGTAGCCAGGCAGAAAGGATAGGCAGGACGACTAAACTAAGAGAATTCTATGAAAAGGAAAGCAGAGAGTCAGTCACCAGTCAGATAAAGAGAAAGCAAATGAGAATTCCTCACTGACAAAAGGTACCAAGCCACATGGCTAAACATAGACAAGAATTATGGATTAATTTAAGGTGTAAGAGCTTGTTAGTAATAAGCCTGAACTAACAGGCCAAAGAGTTTATAATTAATATAAGCCTCTGTGTGTTTTTTTTAGAACTGAATGGCTACAGAACTGGACAGGACAGAAATTTCCATCTAAAAATGGCACCCACAGGTTTGGCAAGAATTCCCACATAAGACTCCACTAAGAAAGCTTTAAAAAAATAATTCTAGACTGATAAGAATAGAGTCAAGTGCAGTTTCTTGGTAACTGTATTATCTCCTGTATTCTCCTGCAGCCCCTTTAAGAAACGCTTCCTAACTCAGTGTTAGTGGCAAAAAAAACCTTGAGGCTCTTTTAAGAAGCAGTGTCACCAAACAATTAAATGATGTTTATGAATAGCTGGCATCAGGCTTCCTGGTGGTAGCATGGACCTAGAAACTCCACAAAGTTGTGACAGTAATGTGCCTCCCACCAGTACCTCCACCGTGAAGCTAAGGAATGGTGTGGGGCCAGCCAACAAAGCTGGAGCTTTGATCCTAGCCAGATGACTTAGCAGAATCAAGATTCATGTGGTCAGAAAAATATAAAGATACAGTAAAGACAGATTCAGATAAAAATTTTTAAATGGTTTATAATGTGTTTAAAAATATATGTAGGCTTGAGCGAGATACGAAAAAAGATAAAGTCCTAATAAAAGAGATAGAGTAGTGGGGCATGGTGGTACACGCCTTTAATCACAGCACTTGGGAGACAGAGGCAGATCTCTGTGAGTTAGAGTCCAGCCTGATCTACAGAGTAACTTCCAGGGCTGCCAAAGATACACAGAGAAATCCTGTCTCAAAAGAAACAAAAAATAAAAAACAAAAGAAATAGAGCAAAAGAATAAAGTCATGTAAAGATGGAAAATACACAGAGAATCTGGATATTGTATGTTACTGTGTTGTCTTTGAGTTGTTTGACTGCAAAGGAAGAAGCAACAGCTGCTAAAAGACAATTGATTATAAATGCTGCTAGATTAATCCAACCTATATACTTTGAAAATGCCTTAACTTCAAATTTTAAGTCAAATATATGTTACTTTGGAGAAAAAGTTTTGCTTTTCTTTCCACAGGAGATGAGAGGCTGTGTATACATTCTGGGTTAAAACAAATAAGGTTTGATCAAGGGAGACCCCTGAAAATTCTCCAGTGGAAAGGGATTACCCAGATGTTCCAACATTTTAGAGTACCTCTGTTGCAGTTTCCTCTGAGTTCTATATCCAAAACAGCCTCAAACCTGTTGGCTAGTCTCACAGAATACCCCAGTTAGGATGACCACAATCCTAAATTTTTTTGGGTTCTCATAAGATTATCAGTGCCTCCAATTAGCTGGAAGTAACTTAGAATACATTCCCCAAAGTAGATTCTGTATGTCTGTCATTATTTAGGGTTTTGGTTACAAGTTGTTATGGATAACATGAAAAAGCTAAACAAAGAAGATTAGATCCAGAGTTCTTGTTTTGAAAAGAAAAAAGGGTTAATGCCCTTGCACACTGAAAAGATTTTTCACTTCTATTAGTTTAATAAAATGCTGATTGGCCAGCAACAGGCAGGAACTATAGATGGGGTATCCAGACTAAGAGAATTTTGGGGAAAAGAAAGCAGAAAGTCACTCACTGGCCAAATACAGAGAAAGCAAGATGAGAATTCCTTACTAATAAAAGGCAACAAGGCACATGGCTAAACATAGACAAGAATTATGGGTCAATTTAAGTTGTAAGAGCTAGTTAGTGGTAAGCCTGAGCTAATAGGCCAAACAGTTTATAACTAATATCAGCCTCTTTGTGTTCCTTTGGAACTGAACTGTTATGGAACTGAGTGGGGCAGAAACTTCCATCTACAATTTGGAATTTTGGGATTCTACTAACTTTGGTTCCTGGAAGAGCAGAAGGACTTCAATGGGTCCATGCTGCTGTATAGTTTTCTCTATGATTCAGCAGACCTAATGGTACTCGAAGTTAGAATGGCAGCTTAGGAGCCTTTTGTGGTCCCTTGTAGTTATATCAAGGAAGAGAACTTGGTGACATTGGAACAAAGCTCTCCACCATTCTGCAGACACCTTTCTTTCAGAGACGCATCTTGGCATACTATTTGACCTTATTGGAAAATGAAAATTTGACAATGGCCCTTTTTGCCAGTCTTGCCAGGCAAACTGAGCTGCTCTGTGTTATCTGACCAAACAATCATAGATTAGGGCCTTCATAGCAGAAATCTATTATCAAATGAAAGTGACACATTTGTGATTTGGTTGATCATGTTTGGAGGCACAAGCAAGTTACATGAAGAACTTGCACAAATGTCTAAAATTTTTACTACAAGGGTGCTGATCTTGCCTTTAAAGTCCTAGTTATCCTTTTGCATTGAAATTAGCATTTTCAAAGGCCAGAGATTCAATTGTTATTTGTCCAGCTTCTAAATTTGGTATTCTATTTACAATTAATATCAATCTTTTAAGAAATCATCATACATTGGGCCCTGTATGACATTAGTTAATGGCTCAATTTTCTTTCCTACTTATTTAATTCTGTCCCAAGCATTCAAAGTTACTGCATAGCATAAAGCCAGAATATGGCCATAATATAGGTATTGCATTTCTATGACAGTAGTAGTATAATCCCCTACTCCCATTAATTTGATATAGGGAAATTTCCCTAGCTCTAGTTCTCTTGTTCAGTGGTGTTAGCCTCTACTTTCAACCAGGTCCTCCATTGTAATTGTGGACCAGATTCCAAGACTGCTGTAAACAAGTCTCTCCAAACTTGAGGGATAATTCTATTCCAAGTTGCCCACAAGTTTAACATCTGCTTCATAAAAGGTGAATGCATGCCATATAAGATTATTACTTCCTAAGCTGGGCGGTGGTGGCGCACACCTTTAATCCCAGCACTCAGGAGGCAGAGGCAGGCGGATCTCTGTGAGTTCGAGGCCAGCCTGGTCTACAAGAGCTAGTTCCAGGACAGGAACCAAAAGCTACGGAGAAACCCTGTCTCGAAAAATCCAAAAGATTATTACTTCCTTGAATCTCTTTAAATCTAACATTGCCACAGAAGTCCAATAAGCTCTTACACAGCCCCTATCATTTGGCAATTCATGTAAGGTTATTGGGTTTATTAAGGTTGGTTATTTGAAAACATTAGTCTGTTCCTCTCAGATCTCATAATGCAATGCTGAAAATAGTTCTGTGTTAAATTCCTCTGTCTGGATTTGAATACCTCTATGATCTTTATATGATCTTAATAAGTTTTTCTAAGGCCTGTATCTTCGGCATTTATACCAAGCAACTTTTTTTTAAAACCAAGCAACTTTTTAAGAGATAAACTAAGAATTATCAAAGCAGCATCAAGGCTTATTAAAATGATAATTAGCAGTATATCAATTTTGGGTAAGTTGATTGTTTCTTCATTTAATTGGCCATATTTATATTGTATATTTGTAGGAGGAAGGCTACTTGTTCGTCCCAGCTGCTCAGAACCAAAATAACCACACAGAAACTATTAATTAAATTGCTGCTTGGCCCATTAGCTCTAACTTCTCATTCTAACTCTTACATCTTAATTTAACCCATCTCCATTAATCTGTGCCTCACCACGAGGTCATGGCCTACCAGCCAAGTTCCAGCACATTTATCTCCAACAGCGGATCCATGGCATCCCCCTGACTCTGCCTCCTTTCTCCCAGCATGCCATTTAGTTTTCCCCTCCGACCTAAGTTCTGCTGTATCAACAGGCCAAGGCAGTTTCTTTATTCATTAATGGTATTCAAGCATACAGAGGGAAATCCCACATCACATACAGAAACCTAACTTTATCATAATTGTGTGTCCCATTTTTTAACAGATAAGATTTCTCCTTTAACTAATTGCTTGCTTTAAGAATTCCCAATTGAGCTGGGTGGTGATGACACATGCATTTAATCCTAACACTTAGAAGGCATAGGCATGTGGATCTCTTGAGTTTGAGGCCAGCCTAGTCTAAAAGAGCTTCTTCCAGGACAGGCTTCAAATTTAAAAAGAATTCCCAATTGTCACCAAATTTGCCAGTGATGACGATGAAGATGTGAGACTGACTACCACTATTTAAAACAGTAAATGGATCACCAGATTTCACGGCAGCAACATAGTTTGGCAGGAGCCTGAGAAGGGAGATCGGTGAAAGCCCACCATGAGACAAGAAAGGAAAACGTAGCCAGCTACACTCTGGCATATTGTAGCTCTGACTTCTGCCTGTAGCTGCACAGCCACAGGCAAATGCCTTTTTGGTGAATTCAAAGTGGGCTCTAGATGTAGCATGAAGTTTAGTTGGTCTTAATAGTAAAAATTCAGAGTCAGATGGGGGGGGGGGGGAAAGCTGACAGATCAGTGAAGCAGAGTGGTCAGCCAATAGAGAGTTCTCACCTCTACCAATGCTCTGACTGAAAGGGCGATCCTGCCTCTTCAAGACTGTGTCCTCAGACTTTACTGCCTAGACTGCACTGATCTGTATTCTCCCACCTTATATTCCTCTCTCTGCCCAACCATATAACTTTTATCTTCACCTCCCTAGTGCTGGACTAAAAGGCATCAGATCCTAAGTGCTTGGATAACCTTTGTGTGAGTTCTGGTTCTGTTTTAGACAGATTCAGTCTTAGGTAGCCCAGGGTGGCCTTGAACTAACAGATATCCCTTTACCACTGTCTCAGTAGTCCTGGGATTAAAGATGTGTGCCACCACAGCCTGACCTCTAGTACTTAGCTCTGCGCTCTGATCTTCAGGCAAGCTTTATTTGTTAAACTACAAACAAAATAACACTATTACATATACACAAACACATACATAAATACATATTTATATATATTATATCACTTATCCCCTTCCTTGTCCTTTCTCCATCCCCTCCCAAATTCTTCTGATTTCTTCCTTGTTTAGCATGTGTGATTAGGTATGCATAAATATATGAATAAAACCTGCTGAGTCCATTTCTGTTGGTTGTGTGTATATGGTTTTATGGCTGAACATGTGGCAGTGAATATGCAATTAGGAGGTCATCCCTGCCTGAGGCTAAGTCTCCCAGCTTCAGGAGAATTCCACTCCTGGCCAAGATTCTGCAACAAGACTCTGGCCAAGAAGTGACCTCGGTGACTTTCAACAGGTAACATCAAGAATTGAAAACTTGGGGTAATAAATACTTCAGCTAACACTTTCTGGTATCATGACCCCAAAGTTCTGGAACAACAGTGAAAACTGTGGACACTGGCTCAAGCAGATCTTTGGTTCTCTGGTCTTCCTGCCTTAACTCATTGACCATTAGCACCTTAGATGGTTTGGAATCCTGAAAGTCCTGCCCCCACTTTTCAAGTACAGTGACTACAGGCCTGTGTCACCATGCCCGCCTTAGTTGACTTCAGCTTCATTTAATGAAGCATTAGAATGACAGGATGAGAAAGATGAGCATTCGCACCAACTGTATTAAAAAAATAACCACGTATCTCTTGAGTCTAGGCTTCCTCATCTGTGGAAGAAGTACAGAACTCTGCCCAGGTCCCTTGATAAGTTATAACAGACTCAATGATAAGGCAAAACAATATTGCTCATGTTTGTAAAACAGTAGACTTTAAGACAGGAGGGCTATATTTGATGGGGGCCTAGTTAGAGTTAGAACTAGAACCTGTGTCCTGGGTACCCTAGTCAACCAGGCTCAACCAGTCATCATTAGTAAGCCAATTAATAGAACCAAGTTATCGAGTTGTGACCTGCAGGCACTCAGGAGGCAAGCTGGGCAGAGCTCTCTGATGTCCTCTATATCCTAGTCTATAGAGTAATTTACAGGCCAATCCGGGATTTATAGTAAGACCATTCCTCCTCCCCCCAAAAAATTATTGATGAAAATGGAAAATGTTTTTTATTCAATTTGACTTATTTGGAACCATGATATAAATGTAAAATAAAAAGTTCATTCTTTGGGGTCCTATCAAGTTTAGATAGAAAGGAAAATATTTACAAAAGTCACCTAATGGAGTCATATGAATTTTCTAAATGAATGAATCTCTAAAACCTTCCCACATTCTTAGTTCCTGTATTTCCTGCAAGGTCATCATAAAAGAATTAAATGTGCCGGGCGGTGGTGGCACACGCCTTTAGCCTTTAATCCCAGCACTCAGGAGGCAGAGGCAGGCGGATCTCTGAGTTCGAGGTCAGTCTTGTCTACAAGAGCTAGTCCCAGGACAGGCTCCAACGCTACAGAGAAACCCTGTCACAAAAAAAAAAAAAAAAGGGATTAAGTATTTCTTCAGTAGACACATTCCCATCAGGAGGACTCAGTCTTTATCCAGAATAAGATTTCTGAGGAAATGAGAATTTCATGGGGTCTACTGTTTCACTAGTTGTTAGTAATATGGTGAGATATAAATGTCTCTTTTGAATATCTTTATTCCTGCCAGCCAGGCGGATTGACAGGGTGGGTGCTAAGGAGTTTAAGTGGGAACCACAAAGTTGGAACCTGCTGGGTGCTGTCACTGACAGCTACATGTAGTTGTTAATAAAAGGAAAGAGTGAAATGAAGGGTGCTGACCCATAACAGTTGAGTGAATATAGAAAGCGTAGTAGGAGCCAGCTTGTCCTCACACCAAGCATTGCTCTTGGGGTCATCTGATCCTCTGGCATTCAAACCCAAAGTTCCCTCCTTAACAATTCCTCCATACTCCACAACTCTGTAAATGCCTAATTGCCCCAACCTTAGAGTGAGTTCTGTTTAAGTCTCAGGATCTCCTGACAACCTGGATGTCATCTGGAGTCACCATCACTCTGGGATCCTGAGGGTTTTACAGGCTTCATCCTATTCAGTCAATCAGTCTTTATGCCTGCAATTTCCTCTTCTCTCCTTACAGGAGGCATAAACTCCTTTATTGAATGCCTTCAAAGACTCTCTCTCCAGTATGACTTCTTTCCTACCTGTATGGAGAACTGGCACACGTGAAAGCCTTACCGCATTCACTGCTCTGTTGAGACTTTATATTTGTATGAATTAATTTTATGATTTGGTCTAATTGTAAAGAGGACTCAATCTTTTTTTTATCAGTTTGTTTACAGTCATGGCATCTCCCTTTCATAAGGGTTGTTTTGCATCTTTGAAGATACCTGTGATGATAAGAACCTTTATTACATAGTTCACAATTATAGCATCTTTTTTATATTTTTCACATTTAAAGAAAAATGGAAGAATTTAGAGCTTTACCACACTTATTCCATTCATAAATTTTCCTGTACAGTGAGATACTGTATTTACAGAGTGAACCAGGACAAACAGAAGTGTTTACACATTCCAATAATCAGAGTTTTTCGCAGTGTGCGTTTATGGATGTATTCTTAATGAATTTGGAAAACTAGTTAATTGTAAAATTGTTTCACATTCACCAAGTCTACTCAAAGTGGGAATACTAATATCTTATAGTTCTTGGGGAGGGGTATGTTGTGTCTTTCCATATCCTTAAGTTCACATAGCTTGTATCCAGAGTGACATATGATAGATCTTAGTAAAGGAAGAATAACAAAATGATAGGTTTTCCCATTGCATTCACACAGTTTGACTTTCTGTTGTCCTCAAAGACTGGTGGCATAGGGATTAAAGTTTCTCCACAACAAACTTCTTGACTCATAAATTTACCCCTCACTAAACTTAACAAGGTCACTACCAGTAAATGGGTAAACAGTAGCTTTATTATGGACTCTGCTTATTAGAGTCATTAGTATATTTGGACATATACTTCCCACCAATTCAACATGTATACCTTTTGCAATGTCTAAATGGTATGAAACTAAACAGACTAGAAGATGTATCATGCAGCTGTGATTCAAATAGTGCTGTTTGTTAAAGCATGATTTCCTTGGCTTAAAGCAATGCCTTGTAAACACATATCTGCTACCTAACATTGAGGTACATGGTTATATGGGAATATAATAATCATCAATACATTTTAAGCTGTGCTTATTTACACTATTGCTTTGCTTTAACACTTCCACAACAAATTAAAATTGCTTCAGAGGCACATTTGTATCCACTTACACAAGAAAATTATCTTCCATGTCTTCTAGAACTTTGATAATCTTCCTTAATATTATGGCCTTCCCAAATGTGGCCTAAAATATAATACAAGAAAATGTATGATACATTAGTTGAAATTGTACAGAATTTAAGTTACTAACATCAGTAGACCTTAAAAACTATGCCTGAGTTATTTATCTCATTATTCTTTCTCAGTCAAAATTACAGAAGAGTATCAATAACCAAGAACCAGTTGTCCCATTAATTTAAAATATGGAGCAAAGTTCAGAATTACATGAAGTTCCTATAGATCTCCAGCATCACATCTTTGTAGAGACTCTTCTGGGAGGGATCCATCATGGCACACTTTTCCTGAGTAAATATGCACACCATCATAGGTCACTGCATTCTAAAATATCCCATACACATGTACAAAAGAAAGCATGATATTGGCAACATTGTAAGTATATACTTCTTCAACAACATATTCATATAATTCTGGGCTACTCACACTTATTCCATGACACAGAAGTGACTTTAGAAGGAAACCGAATAGAATAGAATCTTGAAAAAGATATGATGATTGACAGACATAGACAAGCAAGCAGAACAATGGTACTGAGTACACATGAGAGAAATTGTATGAACTATAAAAGAGGCTCTCTAATCATGCCAATACGCTGGACACACAGAGAATCTGGGAAGTTTAAACTTGAATAAAGGCTCTTCACTTTTACATATGAGATTCAGCCCCCATGGTGGTCTCTTGGGGGTCCCCACGATCTGGTCATAGCATTTGGGATCCCACAAATCCACCAGAAACACTGCCCTGTAGAGCCTTCAGCCGACCAATAAGTTTTCTTTCTATGTTTTGTCTTCCTGTTGTGGATATTCTTCTGTAAGATGGCCCAGAACCTGTGTGAACCTGTAGACAGTCTGAGTAGATGCACGTGTGCGATTCACAGATGGAGTACCTGAGAAAACTCCATTCTGGGGCCCAGCTGTACTGGATCAATTGTCTCTGACTGGGGTCCCAGGACACTTCTATATGAATCAAATTCCTCTGGTTTTTGTAAAAAGACAGACCGGTCACGGGCAGTCGGGCATGGAGCCAGCTTCTTCGGTTCAGTTTTCCCTCCAGTTACCAGGAGGATTCTATATTAGTCTGTGTACTGTTGTGTTTTTGGCTTTTGTCCTTCCTCTTTCTGACATACAGTACTGATATAATGGGACATACTCAAAGCATGACTCTTTTGAATTTAATATTGGGTCATTTACAGGACTTTAGGGTTGGGGCTGGAGAGCCATCAAAGGGAGAAGCCACACGAACAGGAGCAAGCATGTGGGTGGCAATGGCAAAGGCAGCAATTGACATGCATACGTGCACACAGAGACACTCCATGTATGCACAGCCATGCTTACACACTTAGGGACAGTTCATCTTCCTGCCTGACTTCCTTCCTGTCCACTTCATGCCTGACAGCCCCTTGCTGCAGGCAGGGACTATACTCACCAGGCAGAGTCTGGGCTGGGCTAACAGGCAATGGCAGCAGCTCATGCCCTTCCTGTCCCTGTGAGAAGGGACCATAATTTGGATGTGGGCAAGCATGGAGTTCCCAGCTTGACTTCTGGCCAATCCTAGTCGAGATTTGCCTCTGTGGGCATGTCGGTGCCGGGGAATCCTTGCCTATGGTTGCTAAGCTATGCGACCCTGTTGTAACACCATAGCCAGCGCTGCAATGGAAGACCTCTTAAAGCTCAGCCACACCTCTTTACCAGGGCTGCTTTGGTCATTAGGATCCCATTGGTCATGAATATCTGTCATCATTTAAAGGCATTGGTTACAAATTAGTTTTGGTTAGGGTAAGATAAAAACTACAGCTAGTCTCAGAGCTTCATGCTGGTACAGGTTTTTGTGTGTTAATGCAAATTTATTTG